AGGAGATATGCACATTAATTATTCAGTAAACACATTGAAACATCAACGAAATGAATTTACAATGAAAGTTGGGAAACATGAAGCTACTGTTGTATGTATGAACTGTTTCTTACTTATAAATAGGATTTTTAATTTTAAATAAAAATTAATCTTGGTTGAATATAATTGCAGGTTTGTCGTAATAAGAAAGACGGTAAACAACGAGCAGCACAAGCGATACTACAACTTATACATCCACATATACAGTCTTGGGGATCTTTATTGCGTCTCTATGGATCGCGAAGTGTAAAATCCTTTAAGGAAAAAAAACAATTGGAACAAGAGATAACCCTTTTGCAGGGTAAAGCTGCCGTTAATCAGCCAAATCATGCTATTTTAGGTAAACTTAGACAAGAGATGCGAAGATTAGCTGAACAACGCGAAGCAATACAACCTATTGGTAAGTTTGTACCACCAGATTTACCAACAGGATCTGCAGCTAATCTCAATAATGTAGATTTGTAAAAAAAATTAATTAACATATAGCTTAAATTATAGACTATTGTCTCTTAGAAATTGTTTTCTCGCCAATGCTTTTATGATTTTTGTATAAATATATTTTTACATTTTATTAAGATATAAAATATTAACTATTTTTAAGTTGATGAAATATTTTTTGAATTGACTAAATCAAAACATGTTAAACATCAGTAATGCTAGATATTTAAAATTTATTTTGCTATAGTGGAAAATCCTTTTATTTTGAAATTGTACAATATTTTCCTATTCTGGAATTTTTCTTCAAATCGCACTTTTATTCCAATGATACATGTGAAAATGATTATCCTCTGACATTCATCACATTAACCAGCAATAATAGCAGTTTTGATAAACGTAAAAGTTACATAAGAGAAGTCACATAATAGAGGAGTTCGATTTTATTGTAAATAATTATAACATATAAATATAGACATGTTTATATTAAAAAACACATTCAATAAATGTTAATGATATACAACGCCTAATACTACTGATGGACATTTTTATTCTATTCCATGAAAAAATGACCTCAATTTTCAATTTTCCATTATAAAAAATATCAAATTATTTCTGCGGAATTTGAATTAAGTATTATACTTTAGAAAAATTATATAATAATTTGTTCATGTACATGAATTTAATTATCATATTAGGTGTAGTAAAAAGTCATCGCGTATTTTTTAGCTCAAAGTTGTATATACAATATCTTCGTCAATAATGAATGAAATTCAAATTTAAAAGAAGGGTTTTAAAGCTTGAAATCTCTACTTTTAAAAGCTTATCACATTTTTTAAGTTTATATGAGTTTGATAATTTTTACATACCAAAAACTACGAGCTGAAAAAGACGAAAAATTTTCATCTCACTTTGTGGATTTGTAACGTGTCCAAAACGAATTTGAGAAAATTTTCGATTACCTATCGTGAAAGCTTGATACTTTCCCTACAAAATTTTTTTTTTTAAATATTCCTACGACTTTTGATTACTGAGTTATCGCGGATTAAATAAAAGAATTATTTTGACTTTAATTGCTCATAACTCCATTAAAAATTGTCGTATCGTATAATTTAAAAAAGAGATTTTTAAAGCTGAAACTTTACTCTGTTAAGATATATTTATATTGTTGGTAAGAAAGTAATTGCGGTTTTTACTGATAGATGTCTTTTAAAAAAACGCGATGACTTTTTACTTAACCTAATATTAATGACCGTAAATATTGTATATTGACTGTAAAAAAAACAGGTTTTGTGCTTAGCTCAAAATCTGATGTAAACATGAATATAAAATTTAATAAAATATAATAGAGATTTTGTTTTTATTTTATTAACCAACTAAACATTAAAAGATTAAAACCAGTTCTTTTGAACCAAATTTTGTCGAAATAAAATATAATCTTATATGTGCAAATTATTATTATATATTAAGTTGTGATACATTTTTCGAGAAAGATACTATTTATTTTTTACAATCTACTAAATTTTTAATCTACTTATATCATGGATAACACTATATCATGGATAACATTGTAATTCTTGTGTCACATTCATGTCATCATTTTTTTTATTTCTGATCTTACGTCTAAGATTAGTTTAAAATCATATAGAATGCTATAATGAGTATGTATGGAAAGGGATAAACCTATCTGCATATTTATATATTCATGTTATATAAAGATATTCAACAATTTTCTAAATTATCGCATTGGTCAATGAAAATTTATTATATAGCCATGGAAGCAATAAATATACAAACTTCAATTTTATTTATTCTAAGAAGATTGACACTTTTATTCTCCAAAAAATTTAATTCGTTGCTTCCTTGGCTATTTTGCTAGTATAAAAATCTAAAAATGTATATACTAATATAAACAAATTTTTTTTCTATCGCTGAATGTAGGATTAAAATAAAACCATTAATAGAAATTCAATTTATATTTAAAAGATATACTCACAAAACATTTTTGAGAATATATTATCTGATATAAAGTGGATAAAACATTGATATGCATGTTAAGTTCCATTACATTATAAAATATTTTTAACAAAACGAGAATAATTTTCTCTTTTTTAAATATTAATGTAATATCTTGGATTTTAAAAATGAATCAAAAGTGTTTCATATTTATCATGAGCATAGCTCATAATAGTATCTAATCGGCATAGCTGTAAGAATTTCTACATCTTGTTCATTATATAATTCGTTCTATTAAATTCTCTTGTTTTACTACTGGGAAAAACTTTACTAAATCGTTTAAGTGTTGATAAATAATACTGAAATAGGCACTACACTTAATACAGTTGTTTTGCATTTATATATAAACAGCTAATCTTAATATATATAACATAAATTGCAACAAATCCTCTGTAATGGAAATTTTTTAACATTCGCAAATTTTTTATATAATTTTCTGTTTGTTATATATCATTGAGAGAAAACTTTTTTTATTACCTATTAATTGTAATTTATGACGAATTCGATTGGAAGAACTAGTGCGCACTGGTGCATATTAAAGTTGTACACTGACTTAATTTGAATATAAAAATGAAATACAAATATTTCGAATTATAAAATACATATTTTATCTAATAGTACAATGTATTAGGTATTTCACGATTTAATCGATTTCTATGTTTATTTATAAACATATCTTCACGTTATTTTGGTGTAGAACAGTTTTAATGTGCACCAGTACGCACTGAGTGCGTCCAATCGAATTCGCTATTAGATACTCTTAGCGATATATATCCACTTTACTATTTTTTCCAGTTATTTAAATACACATATACATACACACACACACACACGACACATATATAAAACCAAAATTAATAACTGAAATAGGCTCAAATGATTAAATGTAACAAGATAAGTAATGCCTATATGAACCAACACAAGATGTTCAAGTGTAAATTACAAATAATTTATTAAGCAAGTAAGTACACGCGTATACGTTTCTTTAATGCGAATTTCTCTGAATAATTTTGTTTTGCGTTAATAAAATTAATATTAATATAATTAATATAATTATTTGGAGGAAATCGCATTAAAGAGAAAATGTTCTGATATATGAGTTAATAACCAAAACTATTAGATGTCCAATATCTCTCGAAATTTGATTATCAAATTGTCCGATTTGATGAAGTTGTACGAACCATGTGTAACTATATTATTATTAAATTGTCCAATTTAATAACAAAAGGAACGAGATTTCTACGGAGATGCTGATGGTTCGAGCAAGACACACAAAGATATATATATAAAAAATGTGTGTGTGTGTGTGTGTGTGTGTGTGTGTGTGTGTGTGTGTG